AGGGAGAGCTCTCATTTCGCATGCGCTGAGCTGCACCAAGCAGCCTCAAGCAATGCTTAAAGACCCACGCAGAGGACGGCGAAAACAACAGGGTCTAAGCAGCTTGCAGCAAATCCAGCAGCACAAAAAGCCACCATACATGCTGCCCTGCCCTCCAAATACATACATCTGCTGTAAAAACTACACATGAAGCTAAAGGCAAGCGTAGCTTGGTTTTTCCTTCTAAGTTTTCGTCTGACTGGAGCTAAAAAGTGCGACTCCAAGCTGGTAGCAAGAAGCAGAGCCAAGCATTGTGCAAGCAGGCAGCGTGCGGGCTTAGGCAATGTGACTCTGCCAATGCACCTGCAACCCGTGGTGTTCCAGCACTGGACACTGCCTCAGCCCCGGCTGCCAGCCCCCGGGACAATGCCAGCCTTGATGGGCTTGTGATGTGGACAGATGTCTGCTAAGACCTGGAATGAGGTCACCAGGCTCATTTGACTTGTGGCTGAAGGCTGATGCAAGAGTTCAGGTACCCAGAGATGAAAGGACAGCACGTCTGCCCACTGAACCACCACTCACTAAGAAACCATGCCCTGGTCCAGAAACACATTTTGCCCCAACCTAAGGATAGGGCAGGGAAAAGGAAGGCAAGGTAATTCTTAATAACCTGATCGAATTATTTTGTTTTCATTGATTATCCCCTTGAACATTCATGGCACGCTCCACAGCTGGATTTTCAAACCCTAAGACACTTACCTAAGCAGCTCTGCCAATTTTGAGCCATTCACATAAAGATACAAATATAAAAGCAGAACATAGAACCACAGGATGGTCTGGGTTGGAAGGGACCTTAAAGCTCATCCAGTTCCAACCCCCTGCCACGGGCAGGGACACCTTCCACTACAGCAGCTTGCTCCGAGCCCCATCCAACCTGGCCTTGAACACTGCCAGGGATGGGGCATTTTTGACATCAGCCGATATAAAAGGGATTCTTTTATTTTTAACTTGCAAAACTAATTCTGGTCATTTGCAAACACAGTTGTTATTCTTCAGCAAGAGAGGCGTTAATCCACACATCATATAAAATTTAGGCAAGGACAACTTCTGGTCTGTCTGTAGACTTCATTTCTTACAGTGGCTGACTTACAGAACTTAAACAGTTTAGATGCTCAGAAAGAAGAGCTCTGTCTCTCCTACATGGTACCAAAGAGTTTATAAAGAAAAAGGTATTTAAAACACCTTTCACCTGCAAAGATCTGCTAACCCTCCCCACTTCTACAGAGAAACATCTGGGCAAGTCTCATACATTCCAATTCAGTCACCGGTAAGACCTGCACTTCTACTGGTATTAAAAGCAAGAGTTCAGAAAGATCAATTAATTGAAAACTGGACTATATACAAGGGCCACAGTGGTTAATAAAACTGAAAAATCACCCACTTTTCTTAAACAAGAAAAATCAAGATAAAATAATGTCAAGTCTTTGGAACTCAACAAGAACTGGAGACACGACACCAGCAACGCTAATGCAAGCTTACCAGTTGACAAAGAGGAAGATCTTAGTTAAAATAAGGTGCAAGAAAGATGTAACAGCTTATATAAAGCAGCTCTGACCTAAATACATCATCCAAGAGAGACTGTAGAGTATGAAACTCAATTTAAAGGATTATTTAAAATTTGGTTTTCGACTTACTATTAACTGATAACATCCATTTCCAGCAGTTAATTCTACTGGATACACTCACATTAGCAAGGAGCTGAAGAACATTGTAGAACCATTAAACACAGAAGCAAAACTAGGCATTATTTCAGTTGATGATGATATGAGACAAATGATGTTGAATGCCATTCATCAAGTATAAGCCAATCAGTAGCTCAAAACAGACGAAAAAGCAACAGCACAAACAACTCCCAAGTCACCCCATTTGAATGCATCCAGCCTTCTGTTTCTAAGTTGGAGTCTCTAAAGTCATTACTATCCTCCCTTCCCCATCTATCTGTTCTGAAGTAAGGTTCAAGTTTGTGCACAAAGCAGCCAAAACCACAGACATCCTCTGGACTGCACCTTATAATGCATGTAACATAGAAGGTATGAAGCATAAAAGCATGAGCTTAAAATAAAATCCTCTTCCAGGCTAGAAGAAGCTTCTTTAGTAGAAACACCACCAAAATCCTCCTCTGTTGATTATTTTCTATCAATAAAAACTGTTGAGTATGTCAAACAATTTCAACTAAATTTTAATACAGGAGAAAGTTGGGTTTGTTCCCCCATCCCAAGAGGGTAAAGCACTTATAAATCTCAGAGGAATAATCCACAAGCAGAAAAGCTCACCTGAAGCTACAGAGGAGATGGTCCATTCAGGTAAGCTTATAAATACACCTATATATACCTATATGCCTAAATATATAACTATGAGAAAAGCTTCAGTCACATCCTACAATCAGTGAGATAATTGCATCAGAAATGGGATGATGTTAATCCTGACAATGTTACCTGTGGAGGAGGTTTATATCCTGACATGAAGAGGACCCAAGCCAGATCTACTTTAAATCTGTGCATTTAATTTTAGATACAATGCTCAGACCCAAAATGCAAACGTGTGAATGCCATCACTTTGTGATGCTGCTGCAGCACTGAGATCCTGGGTCTCCAGACTGCATGACACAGGGTAATATGTTATCTGCTAGATGTCATCCTTCAGGGCATGTCCAGTGGATGCCATTAGCATCACTTAAGCTTGACAGGGAAAGCCAGGGCTAGTGGTTCTGGTCTGTATTATTAGCCATGTATGAGCCTAGATAGGAAACAGATCTCAGTATTTCAAGACTTTGGAATCTAAGGGAAATAGTACATTCCAAGTGGGGTTAATACAGCTGAAATAGCCTTCACTAAAGCAATTTCTCTTAGCTTAACATCAACCAAAGTGCTCCAGGAGTGCTAAACAGATCGATTTTCAAGAAACAGCATCATACCTGGTTGGTCTGATGCTTAATAACGTGAAAGTTGGACTCCTCACAAATGAATCATTTCTATTCTCCCCTCATTCCTGCACGTGTGCCTCTCATCTAACAGCAGGCAAGTCTATGCCACAGACTTGATGTTTTCCTCCCCTCCAACATAAAAGTTCTTACAAAATGTACGCCTCAGATCTCTCCCCTGCTGTCAAGTTTGGCTAAAATTAGACAATGATTAAAAAAAAGAGGGGAGGAGGGGAGGGGAAAAGGTGGGTTTCCTAGCTATATTTTGATCAGAAAGCAGGTTACCAGGCAGTAGCATTGGGATTGTCAGCTTAGAGTAAGGAAAACACATATCCCTCAGGAAAAACAAAGAAAACCCCAAACTGAGAAGAAGCAGCAACCCAGCCAGCAGCAAAACAGGGCTGGAATTCTCCATCATCCCATTTCCAAGAGGGAAAGCTCTTTTAAAGCCAGACTGTCAACTGGTGACCACAGTAATGAGCCGATGCAAAGTCCCTTCACGTCTGTGCGAGGTGAAGAATTATCATAATAGACATTAGTAATTAATTTCCAGTGTGATGTCAGCTGGCAGCAATGCCAAGCGAGCGTCCTTGTCACACACACAGCCCGGCCACCTCGGTCCCATGTCCCTGATTAGGATGCACGCTGCTGCACTGCTTAATACAATCTGCCAGCAAACACCAAAGAGTTCAGAAGTAAATTAGGAATTATGTCCGGCTTTACAGAGTGGAGCTCGGGGGCCTAAGTAGATTTCTCTATTCCTTTATGAAGCACCAAAGGCAATGACCGAGGTAATGCCCCTGAATGAGGCAATTTTACCTTCTAACCTCCCACCTCTGCAGGGAAAAGAATTGGATTAGAACAGCAAAGGAATTAATAAAGACAGCATGGCCTCGCAGCATCTCTCAACCCTAAAGGTATTTATGGTGGCCTCAGCATTTCCCTAGTGGACCTGAGTTTTAAGGGGGAATTAGATGCAGCTGGACACATCTATTCCTAGCACAGAGGTACTCCTAAATAAAACTTTCTAGTTGCTTGCCAAAGAAAACGCTGCATTTTTACACTACACACTACAGCTCTTTTCATCTGGATGCTCACCTCCTGCTTCTTTCTCCACCTGCCTGAAGCACTCTCCTTCCCTCACTACTGATAGCCCATCACAAGCCTAAAGTGAAACTACAAAACTTGGAGTGAAATGAGGGAGTGGAAAAGTTAGGCAAGATGTAGGAAAGGGACAGAAACTCTTTGCAAGGCATCTGCGAACAGGTCTTTCTGCAGCTGGGTCCCTGTCCTGGAGCGGGGCTGTGTCCAGGCTGCTGCCACCAGCTACGTGGGGTTTCAAGTAGGATTCTGATCCCCCCAAAAATACAATTATTTATGCTACCTGTTTGGGTTTACAAGCCCAAAAGAGCCTCTCCTGCAAGCAGAGAAGTTTGACAAGAGCTTCATTAGAAGTATGCCTTGGCCACAAGTCTTCAGCAGGGTTACAAAACCAGTCTGGTTTTAATCTACCCTGCCACTGCTAAGATGTGCTGATAAAAGCAGCACAGTGTAGCACAGGGGGCTTCAAATCTATAATTATCATTTTGCTTCCTTTAATACAACACTCACACCGTCCTCACCAAGTCAGAAGTAACTTAGTTCAAACACTCAGGTGCAGAAAAAGAAGGAAGCATCCTGCAGAGACTGCACGTTTGCATGTACAAGGCTGGACACACTGCTCCAGATGCCCTCATCAGAAAGGTTGAGAGATGTCTGGGTTTTTTAGGCTTTGGTTTTTTTTTCTGAGACAAGTTCCCCCTAAAAGACCATACATGAGATGGGTCTCACTCTGGAGCAGAGAATGCAAAGTATTCACAGTGAACCAGCTCCTTTCCTTTAGTGCACTAGAAGAACACTAACAGAAGCATCACATTATGGCACTGAAAGAATGCCTGCCCTCTACTGTCAGAAGCTGAACAGCAGGGAAGGAAAAGGTCACAACTCCTTTTTTTGTTAATTACGAATGTATAAAAAAATCTTAACCAAAAAAAGTCAATACCTGGTTGGGCTCATTCAATAACCAGCCAAAGTTTCTGACCCCAAAGGCAGCTCCATGCGCAGACACATCGAGACACGTCACAGGCTGGCCATAGACAGAATGGAGAATTTTGCCAGGATCTTCTGCTTTCAGGAGATAGACAATGTCTTCTGCAGCTGCTACCGCCACTGGACTTCCCCCAGCATCTGGAACCAGATTAAGGAAGTTGACCTAAAAAGAGCAGACTTAATTTTTATTACAGCCAAAACTTCCTTTTACATCACTACTGCCACTTGCTAAATTGAGCAAACTACTGATGTGACTGCGGCAATCTTGGACCGTTCCAATTATGGACTGATTTCAGACAAAGACCAAGTATCAGTTTTATTTCTGAACTTCTCAAGTTTAGCTCCTATGATGAAATGAGGCTGGATCTTTAGAATTAGTCCATTTAAAAAACTAATCAGAATGTACCACAACAGAACACAACAAAATGTCGCATCAAAGAAAGGACCAAGAATTAACGGAGTCATTCAGATGAAGGACAGAGAGACATAAGGTTAAAGCACACAAAGCAAATACCACGGCTAGAACGTTAATATGGTGCTCCAGAAGAGAAAACACGTTCATGCGACTAATGTGGAATCATGGAACCACAGAATGGCTTGGGTTGAAAGAGAGCTTAAAGCTCATCCAGTTCCAATCCCCTGCCACGGCAGGGACATCTTCCACCAGACCAGGTTGCTCCAAGCCCCGTCCAACATGGCCTTGGATATAGTTGATGCTTACCCTGAAACCATATATATATACACCCTAAATTAACAGAAAAGCCATCACAGGGCTCTAGGACAGCCCAAATATCAGCTCCTTATTTTCTGTCACAAGACCAGAATGATGTTGCTCTTCCTGTTTCAGTAAATGGCTCAGATGCTGTTTGGAAAGCCTCACTAGAGGAGGGGTTTAAACTCCTTAACAGCACAGTTGATTTCTAACCCAACCTTAGAAAAAAGCATGGTGTCCTGAACATCTTTTACATGTGGCACACTGACCTTTCACAGCAAGCAACATGCAAGAGCAAAATGGATCCAGCTACAACAGAGTGCATGGTGGTGTTCTAACACTGTTACTGGGAAACCTCTTTAAATGTTTGGGGATGTTGTTGATTTAAGCCTTGTAAAACTGACTCAACTTTGGGGATTAGTCAGGTGTGGCTTAAATCACAGCTTCATACCCATCAGATGTGCAGTCAGCTTCCTGCAATAGGAGAGAAGCTGTCTTGCCAATTTATTCCTACACACTTCCTTCCCCTTTCAAAGCAATGTGGATGCTCTGAGACATAATCAAACCTCAGAGAAGGGGATGGCTTCTGAGTGTTAATTAAAATAGTTTCGAAACTTGAGTGACAGAAGGTGCAACCTGAAGAAGCTGCACAACTAGTTACAGCTTCACAAGTGATGCTATTAGCTCGTCTGCAATATCCTGCCTCAGAATTAATCAGAGCGCGTTGCTCTGGAATGAGACCTCGAGTTTTAGCTCCAATTCTACGCGAGAAAACTGATTTACAAAATGAGCCAACTTAGTTTAATGTTGACAAAAAAAAAAATTATTAAAAACAGCCAACCTCCTGCACCATATGGACTTCTATTCATTTTCACTTGTAGCTTCAGCCAGCATTTCACCCTTGCTCTTCAGTGATGAAAGGCTCTTCCATTAACCTGCTTCTAAATCATAGCCTCTAGCTGATAATGCTGTTATCTAGTTCTTGTAAGATTTTCCTAAGACCCCTCTTAACTGTACCAAAAATAATGGGTGCATCAGGAGCTCCTGGAATGGAGCTGGAGACTCACCAGTTTCTGGATGTCAAATGTTGCTGTGGTTTGCCAGAATCCTCTGTCATCAGGGCTTTCCACTTTGACCTCGAAGCCAGATGCCGTTGCTACCACTGCACCCTCTGAACCAAGAGCTAGAGCCTGTATCCTCTGGTTGTGCTGGTAATGATGGATTGGCTCCCGCCCGAACATCAGGTTCCAAATGCTAATTGTCCCTGTGTACAAAAGATAATTGCTGTGTTAGCTCAGAATTTAACAGAACTTTAAAAGAGCATTGAAAGATGTAAGCTTAAAAGCATTCTAATGCAAAAAAGTTAATATACAGAAATGAGACTGTAGGGCAGGAAACCAGAACTTCAGGATGCAGCACAGCACCATGTAACAGGTTCAGAGGAAACTTTCCAAAATCACATGCTCTGGCATTAAAGGCTCTGTTGCTCTCTAAATAAATCCTAATTTTTGACTTTCAATAAACACTGGTATCTATTTTGAGGAAGACTGCCTGACTTCTCCCACATTGCCACGTTTGGGGAAGATCAGACTTAAACACACACCTAAATTCTTGTTCTACTATGTATTTGCCCTCCGTGGTCACTAAAAATAGTGAGGAAGAGCCCACATTCAAAATGAAGCCACCCTGCTACACACAGAGGAGTTTTTAAGTGAAGAATCTGAAGCTCTGCACACACAGCAATCAGGTCAGGGACTTTAATACCATTCTTAACCGTTTACAACCAGCTCCTGATCCTGATGCTCTGGGTAAACAGAAAATGCAGAAGAGTCCAAAAAGCTAAAGAATACAAATCCCCAAGAATACAGGAGTGTAAGGCAAAAAGACAAAGGGTTTGCAACTGCATTTTTCCCCAGCACAGATCACCAATACTTGATTTAAAAGCGTGGTACATTAAAGCAGTAATCTGAGTAAGAGCAACCCGAAGCAATCAGGGAGTGTATTACAGACCAGAAGGGCCAGACAGAATTGGAGACTTCTGGGCCACCTTTGCACTGAATTAACAGAGAAGCAATCTTCAGATGTGACAGACAGGGCTGGAGAAGCCTTCCTTCTACTTGAGCCATTAATGATGAAATGATTAATGATAGCTATTCCTTCAGAAGGAGACATAAAAGCTCTGACAGACAGCTGTGGACGGGCACCAATGCCAGTTTGCAAACACTCCTCCTACGTCCCAAAGGAGGTGAAGCAAGAGTGTGGTAATGAAACTGCACATAGTGAAATGGTATCTAAATGAGTTTAAATTGATTTATGTTAGCTTTTGTAAAGATTATTTGGTATCTGGAAAGTGCTACCAATGTGAAATAATGCAGATAATCCTTAAGATTCCTGTCTAATGGCACTCCCACTGAATATTTATATTCCTCGCCATGGGAATGAGGACCATAATGGGGACCATTTTTGTTTTATTAGGGATGAATATTTAAATTAATCTGCTATTTGCCTAAACAATTAGCTGCCTCTGTTTGTTCACACAAAGCCAAAACTGCAATTAGGCTTCCATCAAAAAGATAAGTCCCAACTAAAACTGTCCCGATGGAGTCATAAGGGCTCAGAGCAGAACTTCCCAAAATTACTTCTTAGCATAATGGTAATTATGTTAATTGCTTGAAAGGTAAATAACTGCTGAACGGGTTTGGAAACAGAATGCAAGCTCACATCACACATACTTAGGCTTAACACAAGTTAACCAATACAAATGGACAGCACAAGCTCGGATTCCCTCTGCAGCCTGGTTGCTTTGTGCCTCCACAGTGAGTCCTTGGCTCCAAGCTGAGACAAAGGGAATGGGTGAAGTCTCACCTCCAGCACAGCTGATTTAAACAAGCAAGCAAAAAACCATACATCAGAAAAGACTGCAATGATTGCAGATCATGGGTCTTAGAAGTGGACTTTTTTTATCAGATGAGGAATATTGCTGCCAAGCCTCTCCGTATTTCCAACTGTTTTGCAGAACATTTAAGCCAGTTAAAGGCTACTTTTGTGAAGGGAAAAAAAGGAAGGTGATTTGCTTTTGTTTGAACATCTACATTTTGCTGGTTTTAACAGTGCATTAACATGAGAAAGTTCTGCAAAATACCCCAAAACACTCAAGTCAGAGGCCAAGAATTCATAGCTCAGCTCTCTAGAACTGGGCAAGAAAGCCATTGTTATCATGTTCAATAGCAAAAATCTGTCCAAAAGATATAAAACACAGTGTGTGCAACATCTGATTCACAATGTGGTCTGAAAACATTCTTGGTAACATCAAAAAGAACCAAGTGACTTGTCAGGGCACAAGTTAACACCTGTTTAATGAAGGAGCACAATATATGGAGTAAAAAAGGACTGTTCAGGAAGGCAAAGAGCAAGAGAAAGACCATTTTCTTTCATTAGGATGAACTGCTTGCTTACTAAGGTGTTGCTTGTCCCCCATGCTTCTCCCCTCGTCCAAAAGAGGGTAGGATACTATATGTACATCCTCCATCATCTTACTTGTTACCAGTTGGAAGCTTCAACTACTTGCATGCAAGGACCTCCTCTGGAAAGGCACTAGTGTCAAACAAGGTGTATGCATTCTTGTATGACAGCAGGAAAACATTATCAAGTTTTACACAAAGAAAGCAAACACTGCACTGTATTTATCAATAGGTAAAGTTACTATCGGGTCTAAAAGTGCTCCTCAGAATACTCTCTATTTCACTGCAGAAACAGCAAGATGTATTTATTAGCATGCAAGCCTTTGCAACAGTCAATCATGTTTGTGTAAGAGCAGGACAAAAAAGCCACCATTACAGTTAGTTATTAGTATAGCAACATGAAAAATATTAGGCATAAGATTTACCAGTGCAGATGAGATCACTACTTTAGAGAGTCTATCTTCCTGCCTCCAGCAGTGACCAGCACTTCGTTTCCAAAGCAGTATCTTTGCTAAGGTGAAGTTAAGGTTACAAGCATACAGTATGTTCAGTATCTGGTTTTGGGTTTACTATTGTATTCTTAACAGTATTAGAAAGCCATTAAATCCCTATTATAAGCAACACTTTCTCAGCATGCTGAAATCTGCACCACAGTTGTGATTATTCCAATTGAACTCTAACAATAACTCCTCAAACTCCTCGATTCAGAGTTTACAGCTTGCTTATATTACATCTTGGCTCCGGGAAACTAGTTAAGTGCAAGAAGCTGATGAAGATGCTGTGATTGCTGACACTTAACACTACAGTTGCTGTACCAGTTGTCTTGTTTATCAGTTCAGCCAAGGTTGTACAAAGAATTCAAAATTCTAACCCAATATCTTGTTGAAATGTGCCCTCATGAAAGGTCCATTTATTGCAATTCACTCTCAGTTGACAGGTATTTGGATAAAACATTTATCTATAAGACTACTGTGCCTTACACGACACACCACAGATCCTGACTGTACTCCAGCTTTAGTAAGCATCAGCCAGTATTACACATCTCCTGCTGGATCAAAGGTGAATGGCTGGAAGCTGTTCTCCATTAATGCCTGTCTCTAGCTATTCTCCTCTTTGCAGCTGGAAGCACAAAAGGCATCCTGCAAGAGCAGATGGGTTTTACATCTGTTTTCAGACAGGTCTCTCTCTGGTATAAAAGGCAACACTTCTGCCACCAGTATCTCTTTTCCTGTAACAGGGAAAAGCAACACAAACACAGGCAAAAGAAGGATCATAAGACTGGTTTGGGTTGGAAGGAACCTTAAAGCTCCTCCAGTTCCATAGCCCTGCCACAGGCAGGGACACCTTCTACTAGGGCAGCTTGCTCCAAGCCCCGTCCAGCCTGGCCTTGAACACTGCCAGGGATGGGGCAGCCCCAGCTCCTCTGGGCAAAATCACGTGTTAAATCACATTTGTAAATCAGACATTAAATCCCATTTGTCAGTACTAGATTGGTTGTGTTTGTCAGTGTCATACAGCACGTCACAGCAGAGCACGGCCGCCCGCTTGTGCTACCTGCTAACAGCAAACCTGCCTAAGTGGAGGGAGGGCTGTGCTTTGGTGTGGAAAACACTACACACAGCTCTTAAAGACCCATTACATCAGCTCTTCCACATGAAGACAACAGGGCTAGCAGTTGCTGTCAGCTTTAGAAGAGATGTTTAGCAACCTACGTGTGCTTTATCTGGGAGGGAAAAAGAAAAGGCAAAGGCAGAATTTTGTCTATGTTAGAGCAGGGAATCCAAACATGTTCATGGTTTGCATGGTCATTCACTTCAGATTCTGAACATCATTGTGTGGTAAGGCCAGAGCTGCCATCTACATTCAGAAGCTGTTTGGGCCTTGCCCCTTCATCTTGATTTCAACAGAATAAAACCTCCTGAAAACACTTCTTACATGTAGTCCTCTCTTCCAGTTGGGAACATTAATTCATTTCCTTGTAACTTCCAGCTACCATCATACTTCTATGGAGTACAAGCAGTAGATGCAATACCCAGGTGGAAAGGAGCACAAGCCTGAGGTCTTAAAACTCCCCACATCATTTCCAGCCAGAGGAAACCAGCCTTAACCTCAGCAGAGAGATGCTGGGTGCTCATGAACTGAGATTTTACATGTTATAGTCACTGCAAGGCCATTTCTCAACTGTCAGCAGATCCAGCAAGTTACTTACTGTACTCAACAGCAGGAGACCAGACCTCAGCCATGAGGTGTGCCTTTACCTTACTATAACCACATCAGCTTCCACCAAATGCTGTCATCTTTTACCTCCACCACTCTTCTTACAGAGATTTCCAAGTGACACCATTTCTGTACAGTCCCTCAGGAAAGGCATGTATGAGAAAGTCTGTATTTTCTTCCCAACTTGGGCACTCCAGAGGCAGACTCCCTGACCTAATGTGAAATCCCATGCCATTTAGCCAAACCAGGAGTTCTGCATCCAGGGCCATCTGCACATATCCAATGGGAATAAATATACTACTTCCTTCAAAAACTTTTCCCTTTCTTTGAGCCAGGCTCTTTCCCTGCTATCCCACAGCATATCCTTGCACTTAGGAGAAGGCACCAAGCGCAATACTCCCTTTCTACCTTTGCAGAGAGGGTACAGAAGGGACAATACCTGTGAGCAGTTTTAAGGGCATCAGAATGGACAAGACAGCAAATTTCGAGTCCCAGAAAGTAACACTGCCAGAATTCCCTTCCTGGAGCCTGCCAACAAGCAACAGCACTTCTGATCCCTGCAGAAACCACCATCCTTCGCTCCATGTTGCTCTTCTGCAACTTGTGAAGTACCACGAACTCTTCCCAACAGGTCTGAAAGCTCTACCATGAAGGGCAGCAGCTCAGCATCTCCCTGCCATGCCTACATGAGTATGAAACATAGCACTTAAGAGAGAGATAAAGAACCCAAAGTATGTTCTCTTGTTGCAGCACATTGTTTTCAAGTCAAACTATGAGGCTCCGAGGACAGGGGGGAGCCTGATGGCTGAAGTAGACTGCTGTTTCCCAAAAGCTGTGGCTCCCAGCCAAAGCCAGGCAAGCATGGAGCAGATGGAGTCCTGGCAAGGCCTCTACTGTCCCTGCATTAGCAGCATCTGCTCATTACCCAGAACCCTCGCCTGCTTTATCTAATGCTCCAGGAAAAGCATTTTGATTTGATTCATTTCAGTTCGGTAACGTGCAACACAATTAGTGGTAAAATCAAACTGGAGCACTGCCAGTGCTGACAATAGGAAACAAGGCAGAAGAAATATGAGGCCAGTGGGTTGGAATTCAAAAATCACAACTGTGGATCAAGTTGCCAAGTCCCGTTGCCCCAGGTGTACACTGAGTGCCCCCGCTGAGCACTGGCATGGGCAGAGGGAACTTCATTTCCCCCCCATACATTTTTCCCTCATTTACCTCTCCTTGTTTCTCAGAGGCTGACACCGCCGGAAACATCCACCCGAAGTCATAATTCAATTTTGCTTTAGTACCATCATGGAGTTACAATTCACTCTGGACGCAGGCATCCCAGGAAGACAAATCTTTCTCCTTCCTATATTTCATCTGCCCTGGGAAGCGTTTGCTACTACAGAACCAGCAGAACAGTGCTGTAAGGCAGGCACAGCGCGAGCAGAATCTGCCTGTTAGCTCTTCCCTGTGATCGGGTGCCAAGGACATCGCTGCGTGAGCTCTGTTGAACTGGGAGAAACTGATGTTATCTGAGCGAGTCTGCGAGCCAGGGATTCGACAGAGAAGTCTAGACTCTTTGCCTGACAGCACCACCTCCAACACTAGCAGATGGTTTCTCTGTGTTAGTCAAACTTACAAACAAAGAGAAAAGGGAGCTGGAAAAGTACAACAAAGAACAATCAAACACATTATCTTCAAAGCCATCCTCTCCCTCCCCAAGCTGAAAATCATGCTCTCCACCAAAGTGTAAATACACACTTCCAGCTTCCAGTTACTCAACATTTCTAAAACCAGCCTTTATAATTCCCTATTCACATAGAAACTAATCTATTCTGACCAGGCTTCTCAAATCAGACTAACTGCCATACCACAGAGCCCATTGAAATTTCTACCCAAAAGAATAGAAGGCACTAAGGTTTATGTAAACTAGTTTAGTCACAGCACACCCAGGACTGACACAAGGAATGCGACAGATAAAAACCCCAAACAAATTATTAGATTATTCAGTGGGAGACTAGAAAACAAACAAAAGAACCTCATTGTTTGGTACACTGGACAAAAAGCCAACACTTAAAACTATCACAGTTATAATTTCCTATGACTTGAGTAAATAATATTAATGAGTCTTCTGCAACAGCAGACTGGCTGTTGGCAGAAAACACTGCCCATCAACGATTTTTAGCCACAGAAAACCATTACAGCATGATTCATGCTAGAAATACAACTAAGGATGCTGATCATCTCAAAACAGTTATTTTCACATATAAAGCATTAACTTTACTTCTAAACTAAACCACAGAGATTAGAGATTTAATTGGGATTACCCATCTTTTTTGTCTTCACATGCAGACATGTCAGGATCAAAGATAATAGGTTTACAAGCACCCTAACTTTCAAAATACTCTTTATTCATACCCAAGGAGAGGATTTCAGGTGTCAAATCATACATTTTAAAGACAGATGATGAGCTGAGCTCTGTGAGCAAGTCAGCCTAGGATCCCAACTGGCCAACACTGTCCAAACCTGACTTTTACAATTGCTGTTTCCACGGCCTGTTGGTCTCTTGTTACCCATTACACAAACATCTAAGTGTATTTAAAACAAGGATTTTATTAAGGTTTCATTAAATATTAGGTCAAAGTATGTAATAACCCACCACTGCAAACCAACACTTCCGTGGAGAAAATGTGCATCCATACGCTACGCCAAGAGAGGATGCAGATTAATCACATGCAAGTTTACCAGTATTCCCATCACAAAGCTCCACAGCATCCCAAGGGAGTTTTGGACAGAGGAGAAGGCTGGTGGAAGAAAATGTAATATTTTTATAGCAAAACAAGTTATTTGCTTAAGATAGCTTGGCTGGATGACAGCCTGGCACTCCAGCTTTGTGTAGCAGTTCCAGTAGGAATTAAACATCAGCTTTAATAGGTGCTATGTTCCAATGCCTCCTAATGCATTTAGGGTTATTGGCCAACTTTCTCACATAAAAGCAAGTGTGTGCGTGTGTGTGTGGATACAGGATTACAGACACACAAAAAGCTGAGCACAGCTGCTTCATTTTTGTAAAGCCCTTTTTTTTTTCCAATAGGGAGGAGAGTTGTGGTTACTTACCGTCCTCGTAAGCTGCTACAGCCAGGGAGCTGTTTATCCTCACAAAGGAGACATGTGGCCGAGGTCCAGCATCACCAGGACCATGCACTGCTTCCAGAATGGGGGCTGTGTAGTCCCAGGTGCGAGTGTCCCACAACCTCACTTCTCCTGATGTGTATCTGGAAAAGAAGGCTATTGTTCACCCCCAAACATCTGAAAAGGGGAACTGCGGGAGGAGGGAGGAAGAAACAAAAAGCATCTTAAAACCCAACACCATCTACAGCTCCTGGAGTGATTCTCCTCCTGTTTACACACACACTCTGTACACAAGCCCATCAACTTTGCTCATTTTATTCCCATTTACTGAATGTAACATCAAGTCTACTAAGGCAGTAAACTGGAGCTACAAGAATGACACGACTGAGCTACCACATGTTACCAACCATCAATATTAGGTTTACAACCAGAATGCAAGTAGAGCTGTGCTCAAGGGGGAGAAGGCAATCAAGCAACAAGTCATGGCAAAACTTCAAACTGCTTCTTTTTGGTCTTTAAAAATCCGTGATTGTGGCTGGGCCAAGGAAAGGCTGTTTAACCAGAGCGTTTATGTACATACACACAGGCACTCACACACATACACCCATCCAACCCACTGCTCTTCATAGAAACTTCTTAATGTCTCACCAACAGATCAGATTTGCCTACGCCTCTGAAGACTAATTATTTTATTAATACTATCAAGGGTTGTCTTTAGAATGAACATTTACTAGAATAAAGTGCTGCCTTCTCTGCAGAAGGCTCTCCCACTGAAACATCAGAAAAACCTGTAGTTTAGCATCAGTGTGCCAATGAGAACACGAAAAAACAGAACTACACTTCCCAGATAATACTGAATGTATCTAAATGAACAAAGGTTTTACACAGCAAGCAACACAGAAATGGGTCTGTGTCATCTTTCCTGCAGCACACATCCTATTAAAGAACCCCCCCCTCGAAACTCTGCTTCCTCTATGTCGCAGAGGACACAGGAGAGGGAGGAGAAGCTCCCTCTAAGACTGGTCAAAGAACACAGTGCAACAGCCATTTGGAACAGTTCAGTAACTGAGTTTGGACAGAACTGTGACAATCAACACTGTCAAACAGTCTCAGATGTCTTTCTCTGCCACAGCTGGGACTTGGATTCTGTAGGAAAAAGCAGGATGCTTCCTGCTCCATCAGCTTCGTCTTTGTTCCCATTTTTGGGGGGAAAAGTATTTCAAAAGAATGATCCTCATAAGGCTCAAAGATCTAACAATGAGAAATCTGGCTGCCCTATAACGGGAAAAAGAAAACAGTTATTGACAAGGGAGGTGAAGTGCTTAATAAAGATTCAGAAGATGTTGGACTTAGACTCGGGTTACCCAGTTCTCTGGGGAGTACCGTGCAATGGGTTACAGGTACTCCGAGCAGATCACTCCCAACATCTCTGGGTGAAAATGCTCCACTTCATACAACTAATTAAAGTGCCTGAGGGGGCGGTGAAACCTGTCAAGCAGAAAGAGATGCACATTAATTCTCTGCACTGAATCGGGAAGAGAGAACTGTGTCCTTTTCACCTGCCTTCCTCATCAGTGTTTTACACAGTAAGAAAGAAGAAAATGAGAGAATAGGGTGGGAAAAGCACTTCTCCCCTTTCCTCCTTCTGCAAATGAGGCCCAAATCCCCCTTCAAATCCTGCTTTCATCTCAAATTTACAGCAGCACTATTTCAAAAGAATAGATCAAGAAAGAAGCTTCCTTCCCCAAAGCAAAATATTCCATGCTGGTCGGAAAAGCAATCCAGATCAGTCCACAACATCAGTTTACAACACCAAAAAGTGCTTATTTCAGATATATTTTAAAACTTAGGAGACAGAACACAGTGGGACAGATAACTGCAAAGATCTATTGCTGTCCCCTTCAACAAGACACACACATAACATTTGGAAGCATTTTAATTTTGAGCTGCTTTGCGTTTCCCTTTATGTTTGAGTTGGTTGGGGTCATGTTTTCAAGCTTAACTGCAAAGAGCAGCAGATTACTCCCAAGGGGGAAGCCAAAAATTCTCCTGTCAGTAAGTGACCCTGAAAAGTAAGTCCCAAGAGAGACATAAAATACTGGTAGAGTTGACAGAATAGTCATTTTCATCCCCAAATAAGCACAGAAGAACAGCATCTCCTCCTAGTGCATACACATACTCGCTCTCATATAATCCAGTGTAGGAATGTAAAAAGAGAGACTAACAGATGGAGAAACAGAATGACAGGAATAGAGAAAAGACACAGGGCTGGCTAATTTTCTGAGTGCACTGCTTATGGTTTTAGTATCTAGCATGCAACGCAAGGGATTCAGGACTCAAGACAGACCACCATCCATAAAAAAGAACACGGACTGCAATCCTGGAATGAAAGCTCCAACATCACAGCACCACAGCAAGTGCTTAAATTAATTCTAGCTCTGAATTCAACCAAGTCAAAATTCAGCTTGAACCATTCTTTGTTCTTGAAAGACCTGAAACACCTCTACAGATAAGCTCAGACTGCAACAAACGACCAAAGGTTTCTATCTGTTTGAAATAAACTTCACTCGAATTGATGTGTTTGTGCTGGGACCTGCTTTAAAGCAAGAACTGTCTCTGCTTGGTTGGCTCTGCATCATACTTCCCTGTAGTCTCCTCATCCTCCTCGTCTCCCATGATGGATAGAATCATATAATCACAGACTGGTTTGGGTTGGAAAGGACCTTAAGATCATCCAGTTCCAACCTCCTGCCATGGGCAGGAACACCTTCCACTAGACCAGGTTGCGCCAAGCCCCATCCAACCTGGATTTGAACACTTCCAGGGATGGAGCATTCACAACCTCCTTGGGCAGCCTGTTCCGGTGCCTCTCCACCCTCACAGTAAAGAATTTCTTCCTTATATCTAACCTAAATCTCCTCTGTTTAAGTTTGAGCCTAAAGATAGGTACATGTTGAAGGGAAGGACAAGGGCTTTATGTTCATCAGGAAGAAGTGGGAGGATGGCAGCAAGGCATCTTTGCCCCCATCCTTCCTGTATCCCTACCACTATTTCTCACTCAGCACACTCATCCTTCCCAGTGCAGCATGACAGCAAATCAGTCCCACGCAGCAAACCTAAAGGATCTGGAGAGATGTTACAAGACCATGATGGAAACACAAGCAGAGGTCTAAGTTTGGGCAGGGAATCAGCATGGGGAAATGGGAGACAAAAACCACCTCCTCAGCTGACAATACGCTCCGTTGGCCATCACCACCACATGCCCATTTCCAGCATAGACTGGGCCTCCACCAGAAGAGAACTGGAAGAATTTCAAACTCAGATGAATCCAATTCAGAACTAAAAAATTTAACAGGTTCAACTCCCTGCTTTCAGTGCTGCTGTAAAGAGCAGCACTCTTTCAATTTGTTACCACAACAAAAGGCTTTTAAACTACTAAAGCACTGCCTTGCTGTAAAAAAATAAATAGGCCACTTTACTGCAGACACTTGGCAACTCTGCCATAGCAATAGATGGCTGAAGAGCACAACATGCACATGCTGCACTTCACAAAACCTATTTCTAGATAATTTCAGTATTTCTATTCATTTCCTACCACAACTTCTACACTTCGCCATGAATATCTACTTGGGTTACCAGCTGCTGAATGAAAGATGCCTCAGAGCAGAACCAAACCATCTGAAAGACCACACCTGATTCACTTCCTTTAGAAAGGCTGTCCAAAGTCTTGCTTTCCCAAGCACAAGTAAAATTCTCTTGCTTACAATCCTAGGTTTCCCCCTCTCCTTGCCCTGATGCCTTCCAAGGCATTTCATCCACACAGTTTCAGGGGTCTGCGTGCTTCAATCCCTACTTACCAGACCCAGTCATCCCCCTCTTAGCGCTCAACAGACACTCTGCACCCAAGTAACTCAGCTTCTCCAACAGACTTACATGTCACCTCTTGCTCTTTTGAACGTTTCAGTGTATACACATGAAAAGCAGCAGCAGGAGAAAGACAGGAGCTGTAATCTTCTAACTATACTCCTTGACAAGCCAGCGCTGTAATTCTGGACAGATATGTATACATCTGTTAAAATGAGTCTGCAAATTCAGCTTAAGCTTTACAGATACACATAAAAACCTTGCTGAAATGGAGCAACAATAGCTGGAATGCATATGGTACAGAGAAATCGCACAAAAATAGATTAAACTCTTATGGTATCTACAAATGCAGCATAATAAAAATACCTACTCACTAATCAAAAGCATTTCAACTACTTTTTATTGGCAGTAATGTCATAATGAGATGAACCATTTCCTCGTGCCCTCTCACATGAGTGAAAGCAGAAGACTGAAGGAGAAAAGAGCTGGGGGTTAAAAGCTGCTGATGTCCCATGATGGCTGGGAAGCAGGTGGTGAAGTGCAGAGCACATGTGGGAGGAAGCCGACATGCAGCCTGGGCATCGCTCTAATGAAGTGGTGCTGAAGAGGCAGGCGATTTCATAAGGAGAAAAACATCAGGAAACTGGTCAAAACACAGAGTCTCATCTGAAAAAAAGCTCAACTGTGTTGGACAGCCATAGCCAGAACAAATTTGGGGACGAGGAGGAGGAGGGGGAGGCTGATCTCTCTCCAGAGCCCCAGATGTCTTTATCGTTGCCTAATGACAATTATACTCAACCAATTAAGACCCTGCTATCACAGTTGCATTGTTAGTAAGCCTTTGGCCCTGAGTGTTGATGGCTGTCTAATTAGTGTTTGTGCAAAGTACAACTGCAACTAATACATAAACTGACAAATACACAAAAGAAAAACTGTTAACAGGAACATTTTCAAAACAGTCGAGGCTCTCCTCGTTTTCAGTCCATGGCACAGCAAAGACAAACTGCTTTCCTTCATGGCTTGCTTACTGCTGGCACTGCAGAATGTCACTTCCAACAAGCAGGTCAACTGGGTTGCTGGTGAAACAGGATGCTGGTGACAGTCCATTTTGTTGGCTGTCTCAAGCACACGATGCCAGGGCAAGTCTTACTACACTAAGTTGGTGTGAACACCAAAGATATCTCAGAAATCAGTTCATATTTTCCGTGTTTTCTCTAAAGAATCTGTAGCAAGGAAATAAAAAGGAAAGAGAAAGAAGCCCCCTTTGTTTCACAGTCAG